GAAACACAGACACACACACACATATAGACACTTATACATACACATATATCTATACATAATCGATGCCTTGTACAGTGGTACAAATACTTCCTTGTTTCTATGGAGTAAAACCCACTCATTATACCCTGAATTGTATTAAGTTTTTCACAGCTGTATCACCATGGTGGCTAAAGGCCAAGGGCAGATCCAAGGGTGGGTGCACTGATGCAGTTGAACCCCTCTTTGATTCCTATTCCACCCAAACCAACTGCCTAGGAGGGGCACCAACAATTATGTTCATGCAGACCTGAGAGAGTCAACTGACTTCATGGTTTATCATCATCTCCCAGATATTAATGTCCCCCTATCCTTTTTAAACACCTTCACATTCCACAATTCAAACTATCCTTTTTTCTGCAATTTTGCTGCCTGTTAGCTATTCCTAGTATGTCTCTCTTCTATTTCACAGCCCTACAGACTGTTTTTAGCTTTAACTAAAAACCTTAATTCAGGTGTGGTAATATTAACTCAGGTGTAGAAATGACTAACAATGAAGTATTGGAGGTTTCTGTCAAGACATTCAAGAAAACTAGATTTTGTTTTATGAATCTAAATAAGGGATGTACGTTACACTATACTACAGGACTAATGACACATTATCACCTATTTTGACTCTTTATTGCCTATTTTTGTGGTTTTTAAATTTAAGATATAATCTAGCAAATTAGTGCACATTCCAATAGTTGTTTGTTTTTGCTTTGATCTTAAACTAAATAATATAGTGCTACCATATTAGTAAAGTTTCTAGTTTCTCTTTAACTGGAGAAAAATGTGTATTGTATTAATGTGTGATGATATGCTACACTATCTGCACCCCCCTTTTCAAAAGCATATATCCACCCATGCCCATGGCCATTCTGTGATCAACCAAAGTACACTTGGGTCTTCTACTTCCTCCACTGCCCCAAGTCTATGAGCCTTGATCTTGGAACAAAAGTTCCTGACATTCATAGTATTAACCTTCAGGGTACTCCCAATGTTTCACTCTAGAAATTCATCTAAACCATCTTGTACAATGGACTAGTCCTGTTCTTCATTGACAGTATTCCATAGCTTAGCACTATCTGTCAATATCAAAAGATACACACAGTTCCTACACCAAGAGTTTATGAAAATTTTAAAAAGGATGGGTCCCAAGTCCAATCCCTGAGCAGTAGAAACTGCTGTCCAATCTGATAACCCACTGTAGTTTAAAAAATTATAATACCTCAAAATTATAATACTGCTCCTATCCTCTCCAGCTAATAATTTCCCATAAAGCACAATGTAAAAAATGCCTCTTAAAACTAGATAGATTAGGTCAACTGCATTGACTTTGTCTAAGGAGTCATTATCCTGTCATAGAAGGATATTAAACTGATCTGACACAATCTTTCTTGGATAACCCCATGTTGTCTTTTGTCTCACTTTGTTTACTATCATACCCTTGATTATTCTTGCTTTCAAGATCCAAGACCCTGCACAACACCCTAAGTGACAGCCTAATGACCTAGACATTAAGCTGTGCTAAACATTGAGCAACATATTGTCATATCATAACAAGACTGTGATTTTATTACAGTTTAAGCAAAAGGAGATGGAAATTAAAAAGAAAGTTGAAATAGTAGAAAATATCACAGACAAAATGACTAACAAATAACTTATTTTATATGTTCTTTTAAGAAAACTCACGAAGTGTAGGAAGTTTAAAATTAATACAGCTTCAGGTATAACAGAACAAGTTTCTGCTATAAAAAGCTTCAGTTAAAATGGAAAACGTAGAAAGAAACAAACCAGAAACTGTTAAATGAAGTTCCTACCTGATTTCTTTCCCTTTAGGAGCCCTTGTTTTAGATCACTAAGGAAAAAAAAAACTTTACAAAAAAAAAATTACCAAAGAAAAAATCTGATATATCTACAAACCTAAAAAGATAGTAAAAACAAATTTAGAGAGCTGACTTATGGTTGACAGAACAAGTCATGTAATTCTTCTGGCAAACAAATTAAATTCAGTGATTTTATTCCCTATCAAATTGTTTAATTTATGCCACTGGTACACCTTATGTTTTAGTGTAGTTAAATCTAATATCGGTTAGAAGAGCAATCTGCAGATATTTTTCATTTCAAATACCCTATTTTGATCAACTGCTTTCCAGCTCAAATCAAAGCATGTCAGAACCATCCATGTGCTGTTAATGAATTTCAGTTATGAGTTGACAAGACAAAAGAATAGGAAAAGGGGTGAAAAGATTTGGTTTATCTTATAAAATACACTCAAATTTATGAATGATTTACTCCAGGGGTTGGGGGCTTGATGCAAATTAGCATAAAGGAAGTTGTCGGCAACATCATCCCCTGACCAATAGTAGTAAAGCTCCATCTTAGCTGTGCCACAGGCTGCATTAAAAATAGATCAGACCAGCGCTCTTTCTGCATCGTTTCAGACAAGAGGTAGGTCTGTACCATTTTTTTTTAAATTGTCTTATGTTTATCTTGATTACTGAGAGAAAACATACCTTTAAGCTAAAAGACCACATAAAAGCTTTCTCTTATAAAAATCAGCGTAATATTTTCTTACTGTTAAACTGGATTTTACAATGCTAAATAGAAGAGGGGCTTGTCTAGCATGTTTACCATCTGTGTATTAATGGAAAATTGATGACTACTCCATCTTACAGAAAATGCAATAAACCCAGGCAATATTCAGTAAACAAAATGGATTTGATGGCTTACTAGCCAGGTAGCTCATTTCTTGCAGCATCATGTTCCATGTAATCGATTCTGCCTGTTTTTAAGCAGATAATAAAAAGGTTTTCATTTATTAATAGCTAATCTGACACTGACAAAAAAATATTAGAAGATTTTTTTGGGGGGGAGGGAACAGATCCCCACTTAATTCCATAAGAAAGAGACTATAGGTATGCTGATTATGCTAACATTGTATTCTAATTATTGATGTGTTTCAGTAACAATAAATCAGCCTTATCATTTACCATACTACTGTTGTAAGCTTCAGAGCATTAATCCATCAACAGAATACACCCAAGTCAGAATCCACCAGAGGTTTCTAGCTCTCTTTACCCGAAGCTGTTTGTCCAGTGCGTTTCTATCTGAGGTTTTTCTTCACTACTGCTTAACACAACATTTTTTGCCAGTCATTTGCCTTTGCTCTTTTGGGATTTCAAATACACCTACATTACTGTAGGATTCAAAGAAGATAGTTTTAATTTGAAACCTATTAGAGAAGTTATAGAACTCATTTAATTAAATATTAAACTGCTATTTGATTCTGCACTTGCACAATAGCCTGCATTACATATAAAGCAGGTTGGCTCACAGGGTAAATTTAAATTATGCCTACTACTCTTACAATTTAAAATAAGATGGTGGCAACCCAGACATTACTTGATAATGTTAAGAGAGGGCGATTCTTCGAAATTGAGCAGTGCTGCAGTTGATACTGATGGATCAACAAAGAATTTTAGTTATGTATTTTTTTACATAACTAAAATTCATGTAATGGTGTTGGCAGCAGACTAAAGACCTGTCTTGCTTTAGTCAAGTCTAGGGGATTGCAGAAATCAGAGGAATTATACTTAGAAGGGACCACAGAGGTCACCCAGGTTACATCCCTACCCAAAAGATCAAGTATACCTAACCCACCCCTGACAGACAATTATCTGCCCTAAAAACCTACAGTGATTGAGGTTATATCAATCTCTCTGGGGAATCTATTTCAGTATTTAGCTATCTTTATCCTATCATTAATAGGTAGCAATCACCTCTAGAATATTATCAAAATCAGTTTCCTTCAGAGTAACTGCAACATCAACCCTGAAATACTTATTCTTTTAATAAAGAAAAGATTTTTTTTTCTGAAATTCTCTGATGTAAAGGAATTTAATTTTCCTGACCACCATTTAAGAAATACTAGGCAGTATTTCTGAAGTGCTGACATATCATGTAAATGAATCCCTAGCTATCAGTATCTAGTGCAGACCTAATGGTAAAAAAAAAAACAAAATCAAATTCCCCTGCAAAGAATGCCTCCAAGGAGACAGCCTTAGAATTTAAGAGATTAAAATTTAATCATAATTTATTTTAATTATCTGCCAAATGACATATTACATGCTATTCCTTGAAAGCCCTAGATCTTAAAATAACAGATCCTCACACATACCTCATTCAAAAACTTTTCTACCTTGTGATATGGTCCCCCACATAACAGGCTGTTCTGGTTTCTTCTGCTCCGATACACTATACTTTAGGAAAGAACACTTACAACCAAATTGTACCAATCTCATTTAAAATTATTTTATCTACTTTCTGCATTATTCTGTTATCCACACCCAAAACATGTTGTTAACATCCCGTTACAGATACCTGATAGATAATACTATCTATTCTCCTTGTCCTGCTTTAACAATATGCTGTATTTTTTCGCACCAAACATGCATCTTTTCCTCCAAAATCAGCCTCCCCTCCCCCTTAATTGCAGGGTTGTATTAAACAGGGAGGCTGATATTGTCTGGGGTAAAAGCACTCTGTTTTCATTCCTGCTCCACAGCGCAGCAGCTGTGGCACTAAGATTAAGGCAGCTAAGGGAGTCAATTGATTTATTGGCTCATTGTTCTCCACTCCATAGGTGTTAAGACCATCTCTCCCTTGTAATGGTCTTGATGTTCCACTAATCAAACTAAACCTTGTAGGGCTATTTTGCTGTCTGTTAACTGCTACTGTTTCACTGCCTAAGGAGGAAATGAGACTATTGTAGCAGAAGATAAGACTCTGTCCTTGCTCTGTGTAGCCATAACCCTGGAAAACCCTTTTTTCCCTTCACCCTATCTTTGAAAAAGCAAGGTACATATATGTTGCAATGTGTTATATGCAAGAATATATGATAACAATTCAACTATACAAGTTCGTATGCTGAAAAACCTGGAAACAATAAGTTAAAATTCTAGGCTACTTCTTGTAATGAGAAAGGTAGTATTACAAGACACTTTAAAAAATCCTGGCAACTAATTCTCCATCCAAATTAATTTTGGAGCACATGCTTTAAACAGAAAGACTACAGTGATCTTAACATGGAGTCACTTTACTCCATAATAATAATCTACAATATTATTATATTAAGGTTAACATTTTAATATATTCTGGAGATAGGAAATTCACAGTTGGGGGAAAAATGTGAGAAACTCTTTTTCCTTCTTTTTCAATTTTGATTTTTAAAATCTGTATTATACAAAAATAATGATAAAAAAATTATACAAAATCAAGTGGCAAAAGTACAAAGGGATGTGGCACTCCAGAGGCTGAGCAACAAACACCCAGTGACAAAAAACACCATGTTGCCAGAGATTGAAATCCCCTCCCTCCATGCCCCTCATGGGATTACATGTCAGACCAGCTGTCTGTCTTCTGTCTTGCAGAGGGCCCCCTGAATGGCCAAGCACAACACAAACTGGTGCACATTTTGTTGCAAGGTGAAGTGCCCAAATTCAAACGTGACACTTTCCCAAACAAGGAAGTGGAAGAATTGGAGGGTATCAGAGCTTGCTATTGAAGCCTTTCAGAGAAGCGAGAGCAAGAGAAAATGCATGACACTCATTCTTGTGGTCATCAACATTACTGATTCTTGCATTAAGAGGATGCTTAGTTCAGGATTCAGGGCTTTTTGTTTCATTTTACAATCCACCTACCAGAACATTTTGCGCCACTTATAAAGGTATCTATTGATTGCAAGGCTATGCTCATTTTTGACTGAAGCTTATAAATAGCTTAAAGGTATTTGGAAAACTATTTAAATTCAACTTTAAAGATATTTACTGAAGCCTCAATCTTGCTGCAGAGAAACCTAAACAAAAACACATTTATCATTCACATTTTAAGATGAAGGATGACACAGCAGAAGAAAACTGCTCCTGTCTTTCTCCTTCTCAGCCCCATCTCACAAATCTCTCTCAAACTGAGGCATCTCCCATTCCACTATTACAAGTCTTAAAACTGGTAAATCCTCCCACCCCCTACTAGGGAAACAAGATGCAGGGTCACCTTTTCTATTTTCATTTAAACTCTGCAGCTAGTTCTACAATACAAAGTTGCTTTAGGCTCACTACCAAAAGTCTGGGTATTTAAATCTGCCTCTAAATAAATGGGAACAAAATAAAATCCACGCCAAATACTTCTTAAAATCCTTTCCTTAAAACTAGAAGAAAACAGAACAACAGTGATTGTTAAACCATAAAATATAGCAAACACATTCAGGGATAGGTGTGGATTAAAAAGTATAATTTCTTTAAAAATGACTAGTTTCCAATGTGTTGTCCTAAAATCTCTGCCTGTTTTTCATGTAAAATTGTATTAGTGTGAGGACAGAAAAAAAAATCTTTGGATGAACATTATGCCAAGGTAAAAAGCAGCAGATAGATGCTATAAACCTTTGTCACTGGGGTAACTTTTCCCAGCCCAGTGGAGAACTCCCTCTTAAAAATCCCTGGGTAATACTCTACTGGTATCAGTTATGCCAACTTAAGCTTGGCCTGTCCACTTCTATCCCAGGATAGTCTTTTGCTAAATTCAAACAAACTGTTGCTTGCTCTCCCATTAGCAAATGGCAAGGAGCTGTAATAGCTTCTTACAATCTCAGAAGAGTTGCACGTCTCTCCAATCCTGATTCCCAGTGTAAGATATACCATTGTATAAACCCGCTGTTAATACGCTGTGGAACTTGAATGTCCCTTAATACAGTTTTATATAATAACCATTTGTGAAAACAAAGCAAGGAAGTTCAATTGCGGAATAACTTTGTACAGCATCAAAGTCTTTTCTCGTCTTGGCTCCACCCTGTTTGTTTATTCACATAGGACCAGACTAGCAACACGAGACTATATAAACTAGGAATTTTTGTTACTTGTATTTTTTTTATTAGAAAGTTAGACTGCAACAAAAGCATTCCATAATGCTCATTGTTGAAAGATAAAGTCAGGGTAATGAAGCAGGGAGAAGCTAGAAAAGCTGTCTTTTTTGCAACATACTTAGGCAATCTGTACCAAGAGGAATTCTGAGACACCTCTTACTGCTACATCTTTGCCAGTTTTATAGAAATCTAGTTTATAAAACAGCATCTTATCCCACTGAAGACTACATTGCCATGCCAAGCACAGTGGCCCAAACCTAATAATGTATAAAAAAAAATCTAAAGTAAAAATCATTTGTGAAGATTTGTTTTCCTTGGGCTAGGAACAAATGTGAACAATATCAAACTAAAAAGGCATTGTCCCCAGTAAAATTGTATGAAAAAGGCTGAAAATAAATCAAGATATTGCCATATTGCCAGACCCACCATGTCAAAAATCAAGAAACAGACTCTTAAAAAAAAAAAAAAAATACATTTAGTATGTAAATAATGAGATGCTGTTTTTGAAGTAGTACATTTGTATTGGTTTATGACTGTTGATTTATAAATCCCATTCATCGTTTATTTAACTTCTAATAGGTCAGAGATTCATACAAAAACTATATTACTACAACTGATAATGCTTTAGTAAAAAAAAAAAAAAGTTAAATTCGCACCTGTTGTTATGACTCGAATGACATCTGCTGGACTGCTGTGCATTTAGCACTTTCCAGACAGACACACAAGAGAGCGCCCAGCAGGTAAGTGGGGAGAAGGGGCAAGGGGAAAGGGAAGTGGGGGGGAGGGCAGACCGAGGCCCCCACGGTGAGGGAAGGAGTGGGGAAGGGGCAGGGACAGGTTGTGCAACAGTGCCACAGGCAGCTTGTCCAGAGGTGGGGAGGAGGGGTGCAGCTCCCCGCCACTGTGCACACTTGAAGGACAGGCATGGGGGGTATGTGTCCCCAGATGTCTGCGTGGGGCATAGGTGGGCTCAACATGGCATCATGCAGCTCCCAGGGCAAAGGCAGCAGGGTGCAGAGCCCCAGCCCACAGCAGGCAGCCCACCCTTGACCCATGCACAAATCTGGGGGCCATGTCCCCCTTTTCTCTGATGGGGGTATGTGTAGTGCAGGGGAGCCATGCACCCCCCTCCCCCCAAACCTGTGCCTCTGGACGAGCCACCCTCAGCTGTCACACAACTGGCCCTGGCCCCGGGTCCCCAATCACCCCAGCCCATCCCACACCCTCCCTCACCATGGGGGCCTCCATCTGCCCCCCCACCCCTTCCCCTCCACAGACTTACCTGCTGGGTGCTGTTCTACATGCACCAGAAGAAAAAAAAATCTAGAAATCTGAGAGTTCTATTGTGAGATCATGAGTCAGACTTAGTATTACTTAGAAATTGTAGCTCTCATGATCATTTTGCGAAAGTTGGCATTACTGATGTTAGATATAGCTCTGGTGGTATACCAGTGTTCTAGGCCAGAGGTCAGAAACCTACAACACACAGGCTGAATCTGGTCCATGGAGCTACGGCTTCAGCACTGTTTGGCAGTAGGTGGGCTTCACCTGCACTACGCTACGCTGTACTGCACCATATCACAGTCAAGTGGGTGGGAGCTTTCCTGGACTATGTTGTAACTGGGCAGCAGCTAGACCCTAACACCTTTAGCCTTACTGCTCTATGACTATGATGTTATAAAAACTTCCATGACAGATAACCTTCTCTATGACTATGACATCTCAAACCTGAGCTACCTGAACTGGGCCATTACAGCCTGCTGCTGGGAAACATTGCTGATCACTGTTCTAACCTATATATTAGAAGTTGTTATTCTCTTCTCAAAAATAATGAATTTTGTGCCAGATTTTCAAAGCACTCAACACCAAAGCTAGGCTTAGATTAATCTAAAAGCAGATCAAGCATTTTGGTATCTGAATGAAGTGATCACTGTCTTGCAGCTTCTTTTGAGAACAGTGGGGGTGCTGTTAACACATAAGAAGAACTGGCATTTGTGCTTTAACTGATTTGTATGCAAAGAAGTTTCTGTTAATAAAGTGTTTTTTAATACATGAGATGAGAACATTACATCATAATTCAGAAAAACAAATGAAAGTTCAGCTCTGCTTTAGGAAGGCAAATATAACTTCTAAATACGTATAAGCAATGCATTTTCTCCCAGGGTTGGCAAAAAAGACCTTGTAAATCCAGGGGATATTACAAGAATGGCAAATGCTAATCGCTCACATTGTTCAGATGCTCATACCTGGCTATAGCTCATGAACCCCTTATTTCCATGAAAACTTCAGATGAACAAAGCAGCATTACAAAGTATTCAATAACTAAATATCAAAAAATAAAAAACAGTATGTTTCTGAAAAGCCTTTTGTGATCTGATGAGAATAATCTTTGTAAATCTGTTGTTTAATACAACAAGAGCATACAAGGATAAACATCACAATATATCAGCCTTCTAATACAATTTAAAAAAGAAATCAACTAGCTATGCATTTTGTTCCAATAAATGTTTGAGTGAAAGCAAAATAAATAACTATATTCATGCAGCTTCATTTCAAAGAGTATGCATTTACACAGCCCTGCAGTTCAAAAAATATTACTTCTGCACCTGAAAGTAGGGAAAATTACTTTCAGCCCGAAATGACTTCTCCAACTTGAGAATATAGCCACAGTTACAAACTTGATTTTTCATGATTCATTTACCACTTTCAGAACCTAAAATGTCCTCTTCAGCTTTGTTTCTCCATTTGTTTCAGCCTACAGATCTGTGGCAGTGAAACCACTAAGAGGATTCCCTAACGATGGCAACCTTCAACACCAGTCACTGGAATGAGACTACATACATCTATGAATGTCTTGGTTTCCAAGTGCAAAAGATTTATCCTTTCCATGATAACTGGAACACTGCCTGCTTTGTTATTCTGATTATATTTATTTTTACTGTAGTTTCGTTGGTGGCTTTGGCTTTTCTCTATGAGCTGCTTGATTGCTGCTGCTGCGTGAAAAATAAAACCATGAAAGACCTGGAGAATGAACCCAACCCCGTTAGAACCATGATGGACAGATTTAGAAAGCGTGAAACAGAAGTAGTGTAAGAAAGACTGATAAGCACTCACAGAAGAACAAACATTTAAAACACTTTAAACAAAATCTGTTACATCATATGACTAAGCAAGTCACCTAAGTTTTTGGCCTTAAAAGTCCTTACAAACAATACTATTTCTCCACTGGACATGAAACTGAATGGTCAGCAAATGGATCGTCTCTACTGCAATATCATGTGAGAAGAAAGATTTCCGTTTTCAAATGAACTTTTGTTGTCTATATTTGAAGACTAGAGTAAATTTTTGTCCATCTGAACAATTTATAATGTTGTTTAATTGGAAAAATATTTATCACCCTCACCTGGGCCATCTCATGCCTCTCTTAGTCTTTAGACATATCCCATGTATCTGAGATTAAAACAAAACCAAAAACCCCAAGAATAACAAAAAACAAAACGCACATTTTATTCCATAACATGCCTCATCTGAATATAGTTTTCAAATCCATAACATGAAAACCAAAGAAAATCTTATCCTTCTAGAATCTCTCTGACCATTTCCTGGTAGGACATGACAGTTTCTACCCACTGTCCAGAGAGGAGTCTCATGCTATTTCTTCCCAAATTTAACAACTCAAAGTATTTGAGTTCATTAATACACCAGGATGACATTATCATCTCAGTATTTCTGCTAGGAGTATGTAATCAGGAATGAAGTTGGAAGGAAACACAAATATCATTTTGTCCTCCATAGCATAAGTTGTCTTACTTTTCTGTCCTCAAACTCAGAATACTGCAAGTCATCTTGACCTCCAACCCCAAAAGCACTCCTCAGTTATTCAGACTGCAGCCTTCTGTGTTACATAGGCTAGAGACAGACATTCAAAAAGCCTGAGCCTGAATTGATTCAATCTCTGTAGGCTAGTTTAACCTGCAAAGCTTGAACTGATTTGGAGGTGGATAGAGCAGCCCTCCCTTCCCTTCCACAATGGTGAGCCGAGGGGGGCATGGCCAGGCCCAGGCAGGACACTGATTAGGGAGGGATGTAAACCCCAACCCTGCTTGCACTGTCTCAGGCTTTTCCCCACTGGCTGCTCAAGGGGGGAGGAGTGTTGCCAGACCCTGCATCTGTTGATACTGAGCTTTTCAATCTCCATCTGCTTCTTCAGACTGTCTGCAAACCAGGTCATTTCTAACACCTTTCTCTGTTCCTTCTTGAAGACTGACAGATGGCAGCCAGAAGTCAGCAGGTTGTTTGCCAGAACAAAGTTTATCGGCCAATCAAGCCCTACAAAAGAAAACATCTCTCTCATTAGTTTCAAGCTCTTCTCATTTGCAGGGTGCATTTGCACTTGCAAGCCACTAGCTGTCTGCCCTTTGTTCCAGTGTGGAGGCCCACACAGACACCTCTCAGCATTAGCTAGCATGGGGGTGGAGGCATGGCCAGATGCTGGGTCCCTGTGCTGGGGTCCCTGCCATGGGAGAGGGGTAGGAGGGGGGATCCCTGCTTGAGCAGCCAGTGGGGAAGGGATGTGGAAGAGGGGGAAGCCTGGCAGCTGCTGCAGTCCCTCAGCCAGCCAGAGCAGCAACAGTGCTCTGGCTAGGAAGAAGAGCTGGGCCAACCTGCTCTGCTTCAGCAAATAGCTCCACCCAGCGCTGCAAAGCATCTGGGATGCTGGGTGACTCTGGTTTAAATTAAACCAGGAAGAGATCTGGGACAGACGTTGCATAAACTGGTTTGACTCAAATCAGTGAAGTCTGAGACTGGCTGAAACCAGTTTAAGATAAACCTGGTTGAATGTATTTTCAACAGGTTTATGTGCACTAAACGTCTGTTCTGTTACAGGTTTAAATCAGTTTCTGATCACTTAAACTGGTTTATGTGAAATGTCTGTCCCTAGCCTTAATCATTTTTCCTGACTGCTGAAGTTAGATCAGATCTTCACAATGGATTGTACCTTGTTGCTTTCACAGCTGATCAGAGTTAGTACAGATTTAACTCATATGCCAATTTTCCCTTGCCATGAAAAATAAAAGGATATATTCCTAGGCCTTGTTACACTGATATTAACTTGACCTCTTCTCATACAGTTTTTCATCAGTAAATCTCAATATACTTTAAAGAGAAAGCAACGATCATTACCTATCTTTTACAGATGGTGAAACTGAGGCATAGTGAAGGGAAGTGACTATAATTCTATAGAACAGCTGAGATCTCAAAAGAAAAAAAAATCATCAACCCAAAAGAGAGAGTGAAATTAAATCTGAATTCTATACACTTTGCTTCCCTAGGTGGGACGGGTTTACTAACCCAACATTTTAGGGTTTTGCTGGTTACTTATACGAGTCAGGAAATATCCCCCTGAGCCTTCCTCCCCAATATGTTATTTGCCTTCTGAGGAGGGTTTTTGGCCTTTTTTTAAAAAAAACGGAAATTGGCTGATGGGACTGAGAAACTTCTCAAGGTGTCTGGCTAGTAAGTGTGGATCATGTACTCCCAGGATCAAAACAATCCCCAGATTTGGGGCCAGGAATGATTTTTTTCCTCAAGCCAGACTGGCAAGAGTCATTAGCAGGGATCCGGGTTTTCCATTTCCCAAAGTGGGTGCAACCCAGCACAGCTGGAGACAGTGGGGCCACACAGGTAGGTAATGATAGCTGCTTTCTTTTTAAAGTATGTTGAGATCTACTGATGAAAAACTGTATGAGAAGAGGTCAGGTTAATATCACTGTGACAAGACCTAGGTTATAGCCTTTTATATTTCATGGCAAGGGAAAATTGGTATATGGGTTTAATTTGTACCAACTCGGATCAGCTGTGAGAGCAACAACATACAATCCACTGTGAAGATCTGATCTAACTTCAGCAGCCAGGAAGAATGATTAAGGCCAGGGACAGACATTAAGGCTAGGGAGGCCTGGAGGGAGGGAACAGGGCAAGAGCTTGAGCCCGCAGCCTGCACCTGCCCCAGGATCTGTGGGGCCTGGGTCCTCCCTACCCCCTGGGAGTGCACGCAACAGCATGGAGCCACCCCGCCCAAGATTGCAGAAGGGGGGAGCAGGGGCAGGGGGCTGTGGACCCAGGTCTGTAGCCCTGGCAGCTGGGGGCCCCCTCCAGCAAGGCTGGGGAAGCAGAGGCGGGGGGGGGGGGAAGGGGCACTAGCAAGGCTGTGGGAACCATGGTCAGGGAACGAGGGGCACCAGCAGGACTGGGGGGGGGCTTTAATTTTAAATGGATTTTGGGTTTTTTAGCAGAGAATTTGCTATTTTTTAATCAGGAAAAACGAGGATCCCTGGTCATTAGACTTTCTTGGCCTTCCTCTAGCTCAGTGCATGGTACACTTTAAAGAAACATCAAGCAGTAGAAAGGTAGTTAGTTAGGCTTGCTAGTCTGAAGTCAGGCACAGTAAAGTGGCCCCTTAATGTAACTGTTTCAGAGAGGCGTAAGCTTTCATAGGCAACAGCCTACATCATCAGATGCTATGAATGAACTGTGCTATATTGCAGGTGGTTTTTTTGGTGCTTTGGGGCTGTAATACACAAAAAAAGGCCACAGTGGATGTTCTTGTGGGCTCTTTTTGACCACTGGTTGCCTGTGAAAAAGGCAGCTGGATTCAGTGGCTGGCAGATGCCTTTCACTCCCGTTCCTAAAAATAAATTTAAGAATATTATTACATATATGTTCATAGATTGTAAGGCTGGAAGGGACTTCAGAAGATTATTAGGTCCAGCCCACTGCACCAAGCAGGAAAGACAACTTGGGTCATGTGACCCAAGCAAGGTGACCGTCAGTCTCCTCTTGAAGATTTCCAGGGTAGGCAACTGCACCACCACTAGGAGCTTATTCCACAGTCCAGACTCCCTAGTTGTGAAGTAGTTTTTCCTAATGTTGAGCCTGAAACGGTCTTCCCAGAATTTGTGACCATTACTCCTAGCTTTCCTCAAGGGTGTCCTGGTGAACAGTTGTTCACTGAGCCCTTGATGTATGCCTCTGATGTAGTGGTAAGCTGCTACTGCTCAACCTTTTTTTTTTTCAGGCTGAACAGTCCCAGATCCCTCAGCCTTTCCTCATATGGCTTGCCACGCAAGTGTCTGATCATATGGGTGGCCCTCCTCTGGACTCTCTCAAACTTTACCATGTCCTGGCTGAAGTGTGGTGCCCAGAACTGGATGCAGTACTCCAGCTACAGTCTCACCAATACCAAGTACAGTGGGAAAATCACTTATTTGGTTTTGTTGGAGATGCACCGATTGATGCATGCCAGGGTACTGTTAGCCTTGCTGGCTACAGTGTTGCACTGCTGGCTTACATTCATACTGTGGTCAATTATTGCCCCCAGGTCCCTTTCATTTGTAGTACTGGTCAGGTCAGCATTGCCAATCCTATAGGTGTGCTGGGGAATGTTCATCCCCCAGGTGAAGCACTTTACATTTCTTGACATTAAACTTCAACTGGTTCCGGTCTGCCCAACTGGCAAGCCTGTCTATATCACAGCCTATCTTCAAGTGTGACCATGCTTCCCCATAATTTGGTGTTGTCTGCAAACTTGGCCAGTGAGCTCCTCACCCCTACATCCAAATCACTGATGAAGATGTTGAATAGCACTGGACCATGCACCGACCCCTGAGAGACACCACTGACCACTTCCTGCTATGAGACAGATCCATTTATTAGAGCTCTCTGGGTCCTACCCTGCAACCAGATTCCTACCCACCTGACTGTCTTGCAATTGAGCTCAGTCTTCCAATTTTCTTACGAGAACATTGTGGAAGGCCAGATTGAAAGCTTTTTGGAAGTCGAGGTATATAATGTCAACTTCCTCTCTTTTATCCAGGTGGTAAGTCACCTGATCATAAAAGGAGATGAAGTTGGTAAGACAAGATGTGCCCACAACGAAGCCATGCTGGCTGTTGTTCAGAATCCTAGCTTCTGCAAGTTTATCACACATACACTCCTTAATTAATTTTTCCAGGATTTTCCCTGGGATATAAGTTAGGCTAACTAGCCTATAATTACCGAAGTCCTCCCTCTTCCCTTTCTTGAAGATAAGCACAACCATAGGCCTTCTTCCAGTCCTTGGGGACCTCTCCGGAGCATCATGAGTTTTGGAAGAGATTCGCTAGGGGTTCCATGATGACTTTGGCCAGTTCTTTCACCACTCTCCGGTGAAGTTCATCCTGTCCTGCTGACTTATGTCTAGTTTCTTTAACTGATCACACACCAGTTCTACGGCAATAATAGGAAGGTGGTCATTTGAACCCTGCTCATTCTGTACCCTAGCTGACATGATTTTCCTCTTGGCTTGGTGAAAGACCAAAGCAAAGTACAGCCAGTCCTCGACTTATGACTTCTCCAAGTTGCGACGAACATCACTTATGACGTTTATAAATTAACACCATTTCAATGTTCCAACGTAGGTTTTGTCTTTACAGTGGTCAACACCGTGTACAATTGGTACATGGCGCAACGGGAGGGGGAAGGGACATGAGGGCACACATCAATGCCCCCTGTATCCTGTGCCCATGCAGCCCTTGTTAGTTCTCGGGAGAACTCTAGATCAAGATCCTCGCCCTAGTTTGGTGGTCTTTTGTATACACCTACAGTTAGATTTCTCTCGCCATGCCCCCCCCCTCCGCAGCTTGACCCTGAGGCTTTCAAGCTGTTCTTCTTTGGAGCTGATGTCTGCCTCCAAGTAGCTGTACTGCTCATTCACATAGAGAGCTACACATCCACTGTTTTTTCCCTACTCAGTCCCTTTGATGCAGAGCGTAGCCCTCCAATTGTGTGAGGAGTCCCACCAGGTCTCCATAATCCCTACTAGATCATAATGGCCACATCTAACAATTCTGAAATAATCCATCTATATTGAAGTTGGGGCATTAGTTTC